GTGACACATGTCCCATAGGTGTGCGTATGTGTAACGCATAGGCAGGAGTACGCGCGAGTGACACATGTCCCATAGGTGTGCGTATGTGTAACGCACAGGTAGGAGCAGGCCAAGAGTGTCTTGAGGAGGAAGCTGAGTCTCAGAGAAACAGTTACGGTAGTGCAAAACCCTGACTGAAAAGCTTGGCCTCTAGATAGCCATCTCGCTGCGTCTCACACCGCCATCTAGTGGGCTGGGCTGCTGTCTGCTCCATCTTTCACTACCAGGGATGGACAAAATGGAAACATATTTTGTTGTTTGTTTGTTTTGGGGGGTTGCTTGTTTGTTTATTTGTTTTTGGATTTTGAGACCATATCTCTCTAAATTGCTCAAGCTGGCCTCAAACTTGGAATCCTCTTGCCTCAGCCTTCCAAGTAGCTGGAATTACAGGTATGCATTTCCACATTTGCCTACAGATGTGCTACACTGAGTTAATGAATTCCCATCCTTTTTTCCAAAACTCATATTTTTAAATGGATTAAATGTTTTTGTTTTTGTTCTCATCTTTGAAAATCTCAACTGGTGCAGGGGCATGTGCCTGTAGTCCAGCTACACAGGAGGATTGCTTGAGTCCAGGAGTTTGAGATCACCCTAGGCAATGAAAGGAAGAAAAAAAAGAGGGAGGGAAAAGGAGAGAAGGAAAGGAAGAGAAGAAGGAGAAGAGGGAGAGGGGAAAGAAAATGAAATCAGGGGCTGGGGATTTAGCTCAGTGGCACAGTGCCTGCCTGGCAAGTGCAAGGTCGTGAGTTCAATTCTGGTACCGGAAGAAAAACAAACAAAAAAATGAAATCAAATATTTTCTGAAGTGAATCTCAATGGATTTGCAGTCAGTAGTCCTTTACTAAAATGTTCAAAGAGTCTCAGATCAGTAGCAACAAATATGTTCTGCCCAAGAGGATTCTATCTTCTAGGTACAAAGCTTAGACTCAGTCTCTGCATTGTTCTCCAGCTTGGCTCAAGAACAAAGGAAACACCTGATCCACAGGCACCCGAGAAGGGAAAATGGCTGATGGGTGCACCACTGTCGAGGAGCTCCATTCTCCTGAAAGTGTCCTGAACTGGCTTCCTAATTTAATCTTGCGTTGCCACCAACTCAGTTAAGAACTTTGAAATGTTGCTTGGCTGAATTCAGATGTGCTCTTAGTGTAAATTACTCACTGGGAAGACAATACCCAAAAATGATGCAAAATATCTCATTAA